TAGCTTCGTTTTCAAGCTGCGCTCTGCCCTCACGTCCTGTTGGCTTCCATCCTGGGTCTATTTACCCTCTGGTGTCTTCATGCTGGATAGTGTCTCGTGCACCTCCACTATGTGAATCCCGAGGTGAGCGCATTAGCTGGTGCCTGCGCAACAGTGTAACCGGCGACAATGATGATGCGGTGCTCTCCTTACAGACGGGCTGTAATGAGACCAGTCATTTGGATGAGAGGGTGCTCTACTGAGCACAACGCCACCCAAAAGTTTGTCCGTAGGAAGAAACAACGGATCTAGGTCCTCTTCAATCCCGCTCCCTTTTGCAATGCCTGTCGAGCTCTGGAAGACGCAAGTGCATTCGGCAGGCCTGCAGCAGATCTGCATTGATCTATTCGAGCCAGCATTGCATCAAGCTTGTTGCCATCATGTTTATGGAAGCGCCCCATGCTCCGTCCAAATGCTCGGAATACCTATCATGTTTTACCAAGCGGGTCGCCAAGCGCATGCAGCACTCACAATGGTTCTCTGTGTTTTGCACACTGAACTAAGATAACTTATTTGGCAAGTCGTGTTATCTGGGAGCCTGCGTTAGTTGCATCGGTTACGGCAGCTGCAGCACTGCCAACGCAGCTGTTGGATGCGGCAGCAGTCGAGAATTGTCAATTGCCTAAAATGCCTGCAGAAACAGAGCTAACTTGCAGAAGCAGCACCAAACCTATTCCTGGATAGGTGCTCTGTGATCTTGACGGCGGAAGAGAGTCATGTGATGAACAGTGAAAAGAAGCTTGGGGTGTTACGGGGTGTTAGGTCGTCACTGCGTGAAATGTCGGTGCCGGCCAGGTTGTAGCAGCAGCGCTTACTGCTGTAGCTGCGTAAGACCGTTACTCAGTTTCTTTCTTTAAAGCTGCACGTGTGCCATGTGCGTGCAGATCCATATATAAAAGCAGGAACATATCAATGTATATTCAGTCTATCTCCCGCCACCTCCGTCGGCAATATGCAACCGTATTCCTTCTGTAGTGTTTCCAGGGATGCAGCAACTTGGCGCCCTTCTGCAGCCCGAACGCTTCAAAGTGCCACTCCATCCTTAGAAGCATAATTCTTCTTAGCACAATTTGTACATCTCCTGTGGCCCGCTGGCGGCCAAATGTAGGAGAAGACCCACGGGAAAAACGACATCCGCGTCTATGATTCCCTCGTCTTATCATGCGAATGGCGGCTGCATACAACGCTGCCAAACACTGCTATGCTACTAGTAGCAAAATATACATCATTCAGGCAGGAAAAGTCTCATTATTTTGCTAAGCAAAACTCTGTGGTAGCAAAACCAGCGACAGCGTCCTCGGCCATCCCGCCATAGCGCGGTTACCGCTTGTTCAATAACTCTTCCGTAGCACTGTTACTGGACATCTACGTGGCTGTGGTGGCACCTACTGCACCAGCAGCCTTTGTTGCTAGTGGCTTCACGAATTTCACATTTTGGTGTAGAGCAAATGCAATATTCTTGTATACACTTCAGAGCTTTACACTTGCATGTCCTCATGGCCGAGTTGTACACAAATACACTAGAAATACGCAAAGATTGGTATGTTTTCTCTAATTCCCGTGCAATAGGCTAGGCCCAGTGCCTGCCGCGCTGCACTCGAAACAGCAGAGCAGTCCGCCGTTGCGTCCAGAGTTGCCACAACAGAAACACAAGGAGAGAGAATACTCCCTGGTTTGTGGGGCAACTACCTGCTCTTCTACAGGCCATGCTAAAGCCTCAGCGCCNCTTCCATGTTTGAATACAAAGGCAGTTCCCTGGATGCTAGCTAACAATCGACCCACATAACCTCGGCAAAAAAGCAGCGAAAAAAGTCTTTGCCATGCTGCCCTCCCGCCGGCGTCATGTTTGTTTGCTTTTCTTCATACAAAGAGACAGAACCTCCCACCTCATAACTACTCACAAATAAACTCTAAGCTATTCTTCCTGCTCACTGCGGAGTGTCTGATTAAGTGGGATTTGCCTCTGATGAAGACAGCTCTTCCGTTCCTTCTTTCCCTTTTGTCTCTGCCTGTGTGGCTGTGTCTCTGTCCCCGCCTTTGTTGCTCTCATGGCTCTTCTTTGCGCTAAGCAGGCAATGTGCAGTGTGAGACAGACACACAGACGGTTTAAGAGCTCTGCAACTTTATGCCTCTCTCAGGCAGCATGGGTTTGCTGCTGCAGCTCATTGCTTTTCGTGGCCATGGACAATTGATATGAGCCCAAAAGATGCCACCTTCATAGTTGCTGCTGCCACTGCCAGGGCCCTCAAGCCGCGCTCCGTCAACGCTTCCTCTTTCGCCTCTTTCATTTGCTCGAGCAGACCTCGGACCTGCAGGGATTCTTGGGGAGACACAAGGACACGCCAGTGTTGCTGCTCTTCCTCCTCCTCTGTGGCTGCTCCTGTAGCTGCTGCTGCTCTTTGAGCCAAAATGTCGCTAACCTGCATGTCAAATTCCAGGGATGCTATGAGCTGCGCACGCAGCCCCAACAGCTCTGCCTCCTGTCTCAGGGCTTCTGCTACCATACAAGCGCGGTTTGCGTCGAGCAGCGCCTCAGATGCCCCTGAGCCACTGTTGGCCTCACCGGTCCCTGCCGCTGCACTGGCAGCTTGGCTCGCTACCACCTCTGCGTTGTCTGCTACTTGCTGGAGCCAGTCCGTCAACATCGCTTCCACGGAAGGATTAATAAGGGAATTTGTCTCGGTGTCTTTGCGCCCGTGGTTCCGTCGCATCCATAAAAAGGGAGGCGCGACGGTCTGTCGCATCTTCACCTCATGCTGCATGCTTTTCACTACATCGGCGAGTGTGGCGGCTTCTTGACTGGCTCTTGTTGTCAGAGAATGCAAGACGCGCTGCACCTCTTCGTGCTCAGCGGCCTCCTGTGCTCCTGCGACTCCGGAAATCTCAGTTCGGCGGCTGTCCACCGCTTCCAGCAAGGCGTTGAGGCCCTGTCCCACGGCGTTTGCCTGCTGCCGCAGAGCATTTGCGGACAGGATATCATCTCCCCTCTCGATTTGTTCGATCTTGTCACGGTATATTTCCAGAATCTGCCCCGCTCTGCATAATTCCTCATCCAATGCGTCGAGCTTCTCCAGGGCAGCGGTGCCTCCATCGGACATAGACAGCTGCCGCCGTCTCTCCACCCTGCACAGGACTCGTTGCTCCTCTAACAGGTCTCGACACTTCCGGTGCATGCACGTCTGCTCCCTCCGGAAGTGCGACACCAGTGCAGTAGCCACTGCGGACTTCAAGTCCATAGCGAATCGATTTAGCTTCTCTACGGCCTCATTTGCTGCCCTGATAAACTCCACATCTGCAACAAGAGCAGCCAGCAAGCGACGGTCCTGCGTCCCTTCGAACCTCCTCAGCCGTTTCAGATCATTCTCCATCATCTCTACCTCTCTGCCAAAAGCGTCTAAAGAAGAACGAAGACTATCCAAATGAAATTCCAACATGCCTGCGAATGCGGAACCCAAATACCCGCCCACGGCTTGCAGCTCTTCTTGTGAGAAGACTGAGAAACCATTGATTCTTCTGGTCTTCTCAGCCAAAGAAAGACCACGTTGCCGAGCCACTTCATACAGACGAGACAGAGCAGAAACCCCTTTGTCCAGGGCTTGCTTCATAGGAATCTCAGGTGACTCCAAGGAGACCGCAGATTCCCCTAAGCGGCTTCGTTGAACCTGTTTTGCTCTTTGTACACTGCTTCTAAAGTCGCATAGTACAGCAAGAGACTCATCGATACCAACGGTTTCAGCCAGGTGGGTCGCCAGAGGCAGCAGCTTCTCCTGTTCATCCAGTTGTTGTCTTTCTCTGGAGCCTGCCTCGCCGCCCCGCTGTTGCTGCTGGGGCTTCTGGGGTTGCTGCTGCAGGGAAAAGACTGCTGTGGTTTTTCGTCCCGCCCTCACTTTGAAAGCGCGGGTTGTGAAAAGCCCCAAACAAACAAGAAACAGGATAAGGGTGCTGAGGGGTGGGCGGAGGCCACGTCGTCTATCTTTGCCGATGTGGGGAGCAGGCACTGGAGGAGTTTCTTTAAACTGGACTCCATCAACGCTGGGAAGATCGCCTGGTTCTAGGACAAGGCTTGTGCTCTGTGGGCCCGGAAACTCGAACTCAGCCTGCAGTGGCGGGATGTCTGTGATGTCCGTCAACACAGGAGCGCCTAATAGGGCCCTGGTTTCTTCATCGGCATCTAGAGATCCCTCATTAACCAGCTGGCTTGTGGATAGGAAGGCCGAACCCAACGAGGCCGTTTCCAGGCCAGCAAAGTCAGCGGCCTCAACAGCTTCGCTACGTAGCCTCCATGTCCACAGCCATCCTATGACAGCTGGAACAGATTTCAAAGGCAGCATTGGTTCCTTCCAGCACACTTAGCGTCTGGTTAACAGCGGAATCTCCAACATCTGCGGACTCTCCCTGTGCGCAAGAGCCACGGAGCCTAGTCGTTCGCCACGAAGTTGCTTATGGCATCCGCGGCGGGGACGCCCGTCCAAGTTTCAGTACGAACATCCCGAAATGTGAGTCTTCAAATGAACTAGTGAAAGTAGAACGCAGCCTGCCATATTAAGAATGCTCAATGTGTCAGCCCCAGCAGCTGGCCATGGAGACTTTCGGCGGGTCGATGCCAATGGCAGGAGCGCGATGCTGCAGTAGTGCAATGGAGGCTAATGTTGCAATTCTCTTGAAGAAAATAATTATTCTAGAATACTCTTGGTTGCAATACTCTTTACATGGGCTGGAAGAGCACATTGGGGTCCTCTCTGCTGCTTAAGAAGGCAAGAAAAAATCTTAACCCAGTAGTTCTCCCTTAATGTGGTAATATCTGGAGCTATAATTGCCGTGGTAGTGTTCAGTTTCTTCGTTTGAAAAAACTCTTTTCAGTAATGGTCGCGCGGGTAAAAGCCTTCTGTAGATGTGGATTCAAGCGTAACACCTAGTTCCTTAACATAAATTGAAGGTGTCTATGCGTTTTTCGGTACGAAACTTGCAAATGCACTTCTAAACGCGTGGAGGCCTGCAACTCAGGGCGAAGTAATTGTTTCACAATTGTCTATCGTGTAAGCTTCGGCACTTCCGCATGCGGGGCTGCCCTACGGCGAAAATTACAGCAAAGTATGCNGCTAGAACTCAACGCTACCCATACAAAATAGTAAAACCTTCACCACGTCGGTGAGCGCACCGAGTTTTCGAATCCAAATGCATCAGCTGCAGCTGCCGCATCAGCAGCTGCTGCTGCGCCGGCGTGTTCAGAACAGTGACTGCAAACCCTTTACTGCACGCGGCTTCGCAGCACCTCTTTTACTTCTTTGAAGGCGGCTGCACATCTTTGTAGTCGCCGTGGAAAAGCCTCATATGAGTGTCCCACTGTAAATATACGCACGCGCCATGCGCTTATATGAGCACATAGTCAGCTTCGGCCTCCACCGTTACGCACACTTTACAAGCCACGTTCGCAATGAAGTGCCTACAGAGCAAATTAAATCCCTTGTGCACGCGTCAGTTCCACAAGGAATGCAATGAGGCGGACAAATCATCTTGTCCGATACAGTCGGCAGTTCTTTACAGGCCGTGAGAAGGATGATATTTGGGTCTCCCTAGTCACAAAAAGATCAGACCCCTGACTATAGATATAAGAACAACGATGTAGCACACTGCTCATGAGGTCGGGGAAAGCGCTCTGAATGAATGCATTGCCTCATCCCACTCTTCTTGCATCGTCTTCCCACCAAAGGCGGCTTATGCGGTATGAAAAAATGGCGGCAGAGTGAATGTAGCATAAAAGCAGGTCGGGTCGGCTGCTTCTCCGCCTGCTGTAAATTCGTCTTCTCTTCATTATGCTAGGACACCTTGTAAGTCCCCATCCTGTGAAAAACATATAATTGAGCGTGGGATTGCCGCAAAGAGGGCATCCCTTCCTTGCCTATTTTCCTTGCTCAGTGTGTTTCCACGCTGATGTATGTATGTGCCTCTCCATCTTCGCATTATGATGGGAATTCGCGCTTCAGATACAAGGAAAGATGTACAAGGAGCGGAATACGCCTCATGTAACGACCACCTAGACGGACATCTGTCATGTGTCATTCGTAAGTTCTAGGGATCAGGTTTGTTCCATCTTGCCCCTGAACAATTGAAACAAGTCCCAGTGAAGCCTGCCTCATTGCTCCCGCCGCCACCGCAAGGTCCTTCAACTTCACTCGGAGCCGTGCATCTTTCTTGGCAATGCGCATTTGTTCTAAGAGACTCTGGAATTTCTTTGTTCGCTGGAAAGACAAGCTGAGAAACCAATGCTCCGGCATTTCGTGCATTTCTGCTTCTATTCGTACGGCTGCTGATGCGCTTCGTGCCCAATCCATGCTCTGGCGCATGTCCAGTTCCAGAGAATC